CCATGGGCTAGAACAAGATTTCAAAAAGCAATTTTTTTTTAGAGATGAAGGATAATGGATAGTGCATAATTAAAGAAGATTCTGCAAGAGTGCATAAGATAGCATTGTTGTATTTGTATTTGAAATAGCTTATTGGAATATTTAATAAAATATTAATGTTTAATAATGATAGATGTCAATATTTAATAAAATATTAAGGAGAATGTGTAAAATGATTAATGCTTAGTTTTAGTTTAATTCGTTATTGTCTTAATTTTATTATAACCTTAGTATTTTATTTTCTTATTCTAAAATAATGTACTTATCAGAATTAGAATTAGAATGGAAATTATACATTTAACTATAATATAAGTTTATTATTTTTTTATTTTAAGATTTAATATGTAGAATGTTCTATGCAGTATCAGGATGGAAATTATGTATTATTTTAAGTTTTACTTTAGGGGAAGGCGTCATACTTTAAAAGTGATTACAGGGGAAATTTTTTGTTAAAGAGAAGAGATAAACAGATGATTGGAAAAGAACGGACAAAAGATATAAGCATAATGATTTTGAAATAAAATGAAATAAATAAAACATAATTAAGAGAGTGAAAAGATGGGAGAAGTTATATAGAAAATATAAAATGGCTAATAAGATATGAATGGTATATAAGGTGAGAATGAATTTGATTTAGGTCTGTTAAAAAAGATGTAACCCGGGCCTAAGCCACTTTTCAAAAGAAGTTCTATGTTTTATGTTTTGTGTTTTGATTAGTTATGTTTGATTGTAAACTAATAAAAGGAATGAAGGAATGAAACCAAAGAGAGAGAAATTGGGAAAAGACATGTATAAATGACAACTAAGGAGGTTTTTTTTAAATGTCTTGTTTTATGTTATGTATTTTGTGTGCTTATGACTGATTGAGAATTACTAAAACTTTGATAGAAAGAAATATAATTGAACAAAAGTGAAGGGAGAAATAATGAGAAATTTGGAAAAGATATATATGTGTAAATGGAAATGTGATAATGTGGAACTATGTTTTAAAAAATAATGCTTTATTTGCCTTGTTAAAATTTATAAGTAATTCTTAGAAAGGAGGTTTTATACTTTTATGTTTTATGTTTTGTTTGTCTTCAAAAATCAATAAAACTTGTTTTTTTTTTTAAAAAAAAAGAAGACTGGGACAAAGAAGAAGCCATCTTTAATGAACAAGCAATTTTATGTGGGGAAGAAAAAGGAAAGGTGGGGAAAGAGAATGGAGAGTTTAAGACTTAAAAAAACAACCAAAGAAAAGAAAAATAATTCAAAAAATAAGTATAATACTGGAAAGCAACAGAAAAGGGAAATACAAAAGAGAGAAATAGAGGTAGAGAGACAAGGGGGTAAAAAGGGGAGAGAGAAGAACAGAGGGAAGAAGGAAAGGAAAAGAAGTTACAAAGGACCGGAGCAAGATATAGAGAAACAGGACCTATTTAGAGATAATGGGTGAAAATCTAACTGAAGTAGGGATTCTGTAAAGGTACATAAGATTGTATTGCTATATTAGTAATAGAAATAACTTTGGAAAATTGGAAACAACGTATGATTAAAATGAGGGATAAAATAGTTAGTGTAATTTAGTGAAATGTTTGTGAATAAAATAAGTGAAATAAAATAAATGAGAAAATTGAATTAGGAAGGAACGGGAACATTTTAATTGTTTAATGTTTTATAAAATAGAAGTGAAGAGGGGGGGAATTAACTATGGAAAGCTTATAATTGTTCCCATAGAAGTATGATATTTAATTAAAAAGTAATGTTAAAGATGTTAAGACTTTAATGAAGATTAATATTAATGATAGAATTGAATTGGAATGGAATGTTGTTTTAATTATATACATTTATAATTTTTCTTTTTTTAAGAATACAGTGTGTATTTAAGAATGTACCAAGCAGAATCCAAATGGAAGTTGTGTATTATATTGAATGTTACAACTTTAGGGAAAAGATATAAAAGCGTCATACTCCAATCAGTAACTACAGGAGAAATTTTGTTTAATGAGAAAAGATAATAGATAATTGAAACAGGACAGACAAAAAATATAAATACAATGATTTGAATTGAGATGAGATAATTAAAATAAAATTGAGAAAATTAAAAGAGGGGAGAAGCCATGTAGAAAATGTAAAATAGTAATAAGATATGGAATAGAATATAAAAATGAGCATGAACCTGAATTTGTGTCTGTACGAAGAAATGTAACCCGGGATTACGCTACTTTCAAAAAAGATGTTTTATTTGTATTTTTTTTCTCTTTGTGAAAACTCAAATAAAATTTACCCCCCACCACCCCAAAAAAAGGTTTGAAGTATATGAAAATGTAAGATTACCACCAGGTGAACATGCCATAAGGTATAAATGGATTTATAAACTTAAGACAGGTGTGGATGGGACTGTTACCCATAAAGCCAGGTTAGTAGCACAAGGGTTCAATCAGACAGCAAATGACTACGATGAGGTGTTTACGCCTAGTCTGAAGGCTACTACATTAAGGGCAGCATTAGTGTGGGCAGCTAAGGAGAAATACATTATAAATCATTTTGATGTAGAAACGGCATATCTGCCTGCACCGTTGCAACACACTATATATTTAAAGAAACCTTTAGGAATCAAACATGATAATACAACTGATTGCTGGAGATTGAAAAAGAGTCTTTATGGCTTGAAGCAATCAGGATATGAGTGGAATCAGTGTATAGTTAAGGAATTAACCACGATAGGTTTTGTAGTTTTCATGGCTAATCCATGTTTGTTTAAAGTAATGGTGTAGTGTCTTTGTTGCTATTGTTTACTGATGACACAGCATTAATCACCAAAATTGAACAAGAAGCTACTAAAATAATATCACTGTTAGAGAAGAAATTTAAGATAAAACAGTAAGGAGAAATCAAACAATATCTTGGTTTAAAGATAGATAAAACTAGGGGAGGATACAAAATCTCACAGGCAGATAAAATTAACCAATTACTACAGAATTTTAAAATGGAATTTTGTAAGCTGGCTAAAACACCAATGAGCGAGGAGTTTAGTCACAGTAATGTACAAAGTCCTATTTTTGATAAAAATATTTATCAGTCCTTGATTGGTAGCTTATCTTATCTCAGTAATTGGTCGAGACCAGATATAGCATACAGTGTTAACCAATTAGCGAGGTTTAATGCTGAGCTAACTGAAAGGCACTGGCAAGCTGCTTAGATGTGCTAAGATATCTGAAACAAACAATGCATTATGCATTGTATTTGGAGCCTAAGGATGAACTAAGTCTAACTGCATATGCTGATGCAAGTTTTGCTACAGACATAAATACACGTAAATCTACGTCAGGTACTGTAGTGTTATTAGGAAAGGTGTTGATTGGATGGAGGTCTATTCGATAGAAACATCTAAGTTTATCAACAATGGAAGCTGAATTATCATGTTTATCTCTATTATGTACAGATTTAGTTTATAATAAGCAACTATTGATTGATATGAGAATTGATGTAACAGATTCTATTGTTGTTTATGAAGACAACCAATCAACAATACAGATGGTTTCCAATCTTGCTGTTAAGACAAGATCAAAACACACAGATTGAAGATATTTAAATGTGAAACAATATGTGCAAAGTAAGATGATTAAGCTGGAATACTGTATGTCAGAAATAACATCGCAGATCATTTTACAAAAGCCCAAGGCTCTGTAAAGCATATGGCTTGCTGTGAGGATTATGGACTTAGAATGTAAAGTTATATATATGTATATATTGTCTTACCCAAAGGGGAGAATGTTAGGAATGTAAATCACATAACAGCTGAGTTGGAAAATATATAAACCAGGATAGACATTTTAATACTGTCTCTTTAAGGGAATGCTAAAATTGTAATTGGGTGTGGTTCCTCAAACGGCCATAAGATGGAGCCAGAAACCTGGGTTGTTCTGTTCTGTTGTTGCTGAGAGTGTTGCTGTTCCTGCATTTCCATATTGACTGTTACTGATCATCGTTATTCTTGGATTTGATGTGAGTCTTTTACTGAACTGTTTTTGATATTGGACTTTGTTACTGGATTATCCCTGGACTGAAAACTGACTGCTATAACCGTGTATGACTTAGGCTGTTTGTTGGACTTTGCTTAACTGTTTACTGGAAGTAAAACCTACATTTTACTATACAGTGTAGCTGTGTGCTGTCTGCGTGTTATTCAACATTACTCTCACTAAGTCTCCCTGTGTGCACTCATTATCCTAATGGGTAATTACTTCAACAGGTATGCTTAGCCTAGGAAACAAAAGACTACAAAAGGACTTGATAACTGACTTCCTAAGAAAAAGTTTCCTAAAAATTAAACATATTCCATTGATTCTCTTATCTTATCTATGCATATAATCTGGTTATAATTATGTGCCATCAAATCAGTATTGACCCTTGGTGATCGTATGGATAGACTTCTTGCAACACGAACTGTTCCCAAACTGTTCGCTTTAGATTTCCAATAGTATATCCGTTGTGTTGTGATAAGAGTCCATGCTGAGGCTTATCATCTTCTTTTTTCGTCCACCTTTTCCAGTATTATAGATATTTTAAGACAGCTAGGTCTTAGCATTTATCCAAAATATAATTTGTGCCTGGTGGCTTGCAACTTAGCTTAATCTGTATTTTGTGGAGTGATCTATTTTATGTTTTCTTGGCTATTCTTGGCTATTCATTATATTTTCATGAGTTTTCTCCAATACCAAAGCTCAAAAGTGTAAATCTCCAACTTCTGCTTCCCTTGGCTGATTTATCATCTAGTGCATGTCCAAAGCAGATGAGTTCCTTCTTACTGATCACTATTTCAAAGAAGTAAATATTTTTAAACTTCATCTAATTTTATTACATGTATTTTTAAATTTATTATTTTGTTCGATCAACATCATACTAAAATGACCAAATATTTTACAAATTTATGCTTATATTTTCTTATATGAACTATTAGCAACAGAAATTTTGCTTACAGAACCGGCTGCTGCTCCTGATGAGAAGATGATTAGAAATGTTGGCTCATGAGAACTTGATTTTTTGCATAAGCTCATCTTGAAATATTCATAATTGTACCAGTAGAGTGCTATGGGATCAAATTGTGAAACATTAAAAAGTTTATGAAATTGCAATTGATTGATTGCTAACCAATTGTTTTAGAAATCTGAAGTGCAACAGAAACTTTTAAATGTTTGCATGACTGCCCTGGCAGCAGTCACCCTTACAAAACAAATGGTTATACCCATACAGTATAAGATTAACTCTGAACAGATCAGATCATTATACATTCACAAAGAAAAATATGTTGCACCTTGACATACATTCTATCTGTCTGTCTGTCTGTCTGTCTACCATCTCTACCTATCATATATCATCTTTCCTCTAACAAAAAAAGCTGTCATCAGTTGCCTATTTGAGCAGGGGCTTTGGTGGCGTAGCGGTTAGAATACAGTTTTGCAGACTAACTCTGTATTCCACTGCCAAGAGTTTGATCCTGACTGTTCAAGACTGACTCAGCCTTCCATCCTGCTTTCATCCAGGCTGTTAAGGAAAGGTAGGTTCCTAAAGAGTCCTTGATTACTCTAAGTAAATGTTCCCTCAATGGTCCTCCAACAACTGGTAAGGCTCCATTTCATGCTACCCTGAAGGCAGCCACCCTCAGTGCCCCAGACAATAGTCTACATTTAACAAAGAAAGTCCACAGAGTAGAAACATGCTCACAGAGCAAGGTCCAGGGTCCCAAGTTCAGTCCACTTGGTTAAGCAAGTCCACAAGGTAAAGTCAAGGCAGTCTTCAAAGCCAAGGCAAGGTAAAAAGCAAAAGGTAGACTTCAAGGCTAGGCAAGGCAAAAGGTGAAAAGTAATCCTCAAGGCTAGCAAGGCAAAAGGCAAGAGTCAAAGCTGGGAGAATTAAGCCAAAACAAACAATTGTTCCTGGCAAAGACTAACTCCCCACAGCTTAAGTTAATCCACTCAGGTGTTCCTTGTGAGGAGGAATGGCACAACCCTTCTTTGAGCTTGCCTATGCTCTGTTCTCTGTGCCCTTGGATTGAATGGGGGATGCAGCTGTTCCTCATCAGACGGGATTTCTGCCTATCAGCATCACTGCCTGTCAGCATCCGATCCTCCCCTGTGTAAGGGCAGGCAGCTCTCCATCCAGTTGACCACCTCCCACAATGCCTCAGGGGTCTGGGACAGCTTTGTCCTCAGCCCCTGGCCTCTCCAAACATTCCAAGGAGATGTGCCATCCTCATTGGACGGTCCTGGTTCTGATGGGGCCATAACACATCCTTCTGAGGTTGATAAAACGAGGACTCAGATTGTTGCGGGCAATATGCTGACTCTGTAAACTGCTTAGAGAGGGCTGTAAAGCACCGCGAAGCAGTATATCAGTCTAAGTACTATTGCTATTGCTATTTATGACTTACCTGATTGGGGATGGAGTTTCTATGAAGTATGGATATCATTACAAATAAGGTTCAGATACTGCGCTAACGCGTAAAACAGTTTATTTAATTTTAATTTTGGCTGAATATGATGTGTGAATATAACCAACGGTGAATTATGTAATATAGCATATTTAGAAAACCACACTTAAAATGATGTGTGAATCCAATTATAACAGTAGCATAAAAAAGTTTTTTCACCTGAGCATTATTTTAATTTCAGATAACTGCAAATAATAATAGAAATATTAGAATTTATCAATATCCAGTACTCTTCCTTTGTCAAATACTGAAAAGCCTAACTCTTCTTTGTTTTAATAATAGCTAGGGATAGCTATGATTCCAGCATTGAATTCTGACAAAAACTAAAAAGCAAGATGATTTGATTAATATCTAAAGAAAAAATGCTAAAGCCAAAATCACCATTTAACAATATTATAAAAATAGAGTTGCATTTTATTAACTGAGGAAAGTAAATTTGAAAGATGTATCATATACCTATGATATAAACATATTTTATACATCACTGTATTTTTAAAACTTGTATCTCCGAAACCCACTTACTAAAATCCTCAGTAGAAGAGAGCTTGTAGTAGCCAGCACATAGAAAAATAGTGTATTTCTGAAAGAAGTCATACCTGAAAATGGCACATCTCTAAGGATAGTGGGACCCCATCCTTTCCAGAGTGAAAGCCAGCCATTTTGGGTCACACCTGTACTGATGCGAGCAAGCAGTTCTGTGTAAGTCAATCGTCTAGACTGCATTCTTGTTCTAATCATTTCAATTGGACTTATTATAGTAGCAGAAAATACTAAATTTGAGACAGAAAGAAACACAGTGCTCAAAATTTACAAACTTTTTTTTCTGCAAGACATTTGCTTTCAGTATATGCCCATATCTATTATTTTTGGCATTAAGCATTTCACTACATAAAAAACATATGGATAGCTATTGATTCAACAGTGTAATTCATCCCAGAATTGTTAGGAGTCAGGTGTCATATACATTTAATAAACTGTTAATTCAACTTTCATTCAACTTTCAAAGAACTCAAGATTCTAACATTGTTTATTAAAACAGATAGATTCTAAATTCAGTGAGTGCTTCATTGACCCAGATTTACTGTGATGAGAATGAAATGCTCTAACTATAAAATTTCATGGTCCTCTCAGTTTCTCATATGTGGAATTAATAAGTTTTCAATTTTGTTTTTAATCATAACTTTTTACCAATACTATTTGACAAACTATTTAATACTATGGATAGATTGAAACACATTAATTTCATAAACCATATTCTCAAGATGTTCTGCATCCCAATTGCTAATATCAGAAAGTAACAATCTGAAGAATCTCTAAAAGATGCATGATCCCAAAACCTCACCCTTGATTTCAGGCAATAAGAATGTTTCACCTTTTCCAATATTCAAAAGCACAGCATAAAATTTACAAACTACAGGTAGTCCTTCTTTCTTATTGACCACTCATTCAGTGATGATTCAAAATTGTGACTATGCTAAACAAGTATGACTATACCTCAAAGTTCCAGACATTGCAGCCTTCCCCCTGGTCACATAATCATGATGCAGGTGCTTTTAAACTGGTTCACTTTCATGATGGTTGTAAAATCCTGCAGTCATGCGATTGTCATTTGCAACATTCCTTGTTTGTTTCCCACAAGCAGTCAATAGGAAAGTTATCAAGGAAGTTTGCAAGTCATTCTGGTAAGATTCTGGTGTTCCTGCATGCAAATCCTCCCAACCTCTGACTTTCCTGCATATGCGCCCCCTGTGCCATCTAGCCCTGGCCTCCCTGAACACATACTATACTGCAGCAGTCCTCCCCCAGACTTCTCCAACACATGCATGACCTGTGCTGACGCTCCCAAATCCTCTCCCAACTCACATGCAATCTGCACTGTTCCTCCCAGGATTCCCCATCCTGCTGTGCTACCTTCATGCCCCTTACCTGGGACTTGTGCGTGCTAGTTATTTATTTTGATTTGTCAATCGCTTACAAGATAATAGGTATAAGTATATACATAGTTATCAATACATGACATGGGTACATATAAGAAAAATAAAAGAAGCAATAGGACAGGAACGGTAGGCACTTTGGTGCGCTTATGCACGCCCCCTACAGACCTCTTAGCAAAGTGGTGAGGTCAATAATAGACAGTCTAAGGTTAAAGTTTTGGGGGTTTGGGGAAGAAACCACAGAGTCAGGTAGAGTATTCCAGACATTGACCACTCTGGTGCTGAAGTCGTATTTTCTGCAATCAAGTTTGGTGCGATTAACCTTGAGTTTGTATCTATTGTTTGCTCTTGTGTTGTTATGGTTGAAACTGAAGTATTCATTGACAGGTAGGACATTGCAATGTATGACTTTATATACTATACTTAGATTGGACCGAAGGCGGCGTAGTTCTAGGTTTTCTAGGTCTAGAATTTCGAGTCTGATGGCATAAGGCATTCTGCAACAAGTAGAGGAGTGGAGAACTCTTCTGAAATATTTCTGGACTTTCTCAACTGTGTTAATATCAGATACGTAATGTGGGTTCCAGACTGATGAGCTGTATTCGAGTATTGGTCTAGCAAATGTTTTGTATGCTCTAGTTAGTAGTGTGATATTATCAGAGATAAATCTACATAGGATTAGGTTAACAACTCTTAATGCCTTTTTGGCTATGTAGTTACAGTGGGCTCTAGCACTTAGATCATTAGAGATGAGTATTCCAAGGTCCTTTACAGAGCTTGGATCATCAACAAGGTCTTGACTATTCAGCTTGTATTTTATTTTCTGATGTTTTTTTGCCAAAATGTAAGACAGCATTTATTTGTTGATATTTGAAGTTGCCATTTGTTTGACCATTCTGATACAGAGTCAAGATCTTTTTGAATGGTAGCAGTATTGCTTGTGGTATTGAACAGCTTTACATCATCAGCGAAGAGAATGCAGTTGCTCTTAATATGATCACAGAAGTCATTTATGTAGAGTATGAAGAGAGTTGGTCCTAGTACACTGCCTTGGGGGACACCACCATTGACAGGTACAGAATTTGATATGACAAATAATTTGGCTTAACAAGTCACATTATTACAATGGCAACTGGAACTACCAAGATATTGCCACTAAGCAACGTGATAACATCTTTACAACTTCATCACTTTGTGATGGCATTCCTGTTCCAATTGCCCTTGTAAACCTAATAGTTTAATCTTAATTAATTCTATCAGCAGATAAAATTAAAGGGCTGGTTCCTTGGCTTGAAAACTTCATGACTTGAACCTGACTAGCTAGCTACTATATTTAAGATTTCAATTAATAAGAGGTCATAGTCAAAGGAACAATGTTGTACAGGGTTTTGTATTTTCTAAGTCTCTTTATTTTTAATTTTATACATTATTTTTTATTCCTCTTAAAATTTATCCTCCTTTCACTTTGCATAATGGGCTGTACCTGGTACCTTACCCATCAGGTTTATAGCTCCAAAGTCAGTGAATGCCTATGAGGTTTCTTTTCCCCTTCTTGATTACTAAGCTTCAGATCACTACTTCTCCTATCACAGCAGAATTTTAGGAAGAAGATGAAAATAAAGATTCTTTGTTCCACAGGGATTCTTAACAAATCTGTTCGTTCATGCATTTGCTTATAAGCTCCAATACAGATTACATATAGCCCTGAGAGTCATTTTATACCACACAGTCAGGTATAGCAATAGCACTTGGATTTATATACCGCTTCACAGTGCTTTACAGCTCTCCCTAAGTGGTTTAAAGAGCCAGCATATTGCCCCTAGCAAACTGGGTCCTCATTTACCCACCTCGGAAGGATGGAAGGCTCTCACCTTGAGCCTGAGATTCAATCTGCCGAATTGCAGTCAGCCAGCAGTCAGCAGAAGTAGCCTGCAGTACTGCACTCTAACCACTGCACCACCGCGGCTACAGGTATAATTGTACATAAACCTACTGGAGTTAGTATTAACCTTGCTCTAGAAGGCACAACAAAAATTATCCCTAATTAATTGTTAAGGAAAACTTTAGCCATTATGAAAATATAACATTTTCATAAAAATATCATTTTTGGCTGTCTCACACTCTTGTCACATATCGCAGGATCCAGATATACAAGATTCTATTGACTTGGGGCTTGTCTCCACCCTTCACTGAAGCCCATAGGCCAATTCTTCACGAATGCTTCAAATGAGCTGTAATACACATTGTACTTCTGGGAAGCCCTTGTCCTCCCATTGGAAGTGCTATTTTCCAAAATGTAAGTTACAGAATATGAATTGCACCTCCAGGAAGCCCTTATCCCTCAACTTCCTCTATTGGATGGAGTCTTGGAGAACCAGCCTTCAGCCTCCAGTGAGAGGTGGAGGCAAGCTCAGGGCCAACAGACCCTACATGCCTGGATTCTGGAGTGGAGGTGTAAAGTGGTGGAATGTTATGCGGCCAAAGGAGCAGAATTGGGGGAGGGAGAGTTAAAGGAGAGATAGTTATGCAGGATAGAAACATGAGGTTGCAGCCTTACAAACAAAATTTTGACTAACACTAAACAGCATGGTTATGTGATTTTTTCTTTAACATCTATTTTAGTGATGGAAATTCCAGACGAAATTAGGATCGTAATCCTAGGGCTGCAAATAAATTAAAATCTCTCCTTCAAGTAAAATTTATGACAGCTATTGTGGGAAACTGGAGTGTATCTTTCAGAGACTTTCTTCCCAATTGTATAGTGTCCTAAATTTTATGAAACGTGCTTTAAACAAGAGAATGCTTGAACAAGTAAATATAATTCATAACTGGTATATTACAATGATAACTGTATAATTTGACTGTACAATGGAAGCTGTTCTTTAAAAAAGTTTACTCATATTCTGTTGCCCTTCTAGTTAACAATACTCTAGGCCAGGGGTCTCCAACCACGAGGCCACGGACTGGCACTGATCCACAGCTCGTGAGGAAACAGGCTGTGCAAGCAATCAAAGCCCCATCTGTCCAAACACAGGATCCAGGCAGTACACGAAATTATGTCCCTGATCCATGGAAACTGGTTTTGGAGGCTATTGTTTTAGGCCATGAAACAGGACAAAATTTGAATATATGCTATCTTCAGCTCTTACATCAACATATTTACCATGGTTCTTTCTTCTATCCTGATTAAACTTAAATCTTAATGGTGACCATATTTACCATGCTCACCATAAATTTAATCAGCGTTAGCTTAGACAAGGTAAAGAAGGAGGAATTCAGGATAGAAGGAAGAACTATTCATGCTAAAGATATCTCCTAAGTCTGAATCATAGTTAAGAGACCATAAAATATTAAACATGTATTAGGCAATATCCTTAGATTAAGGAATGTAACTTTTTGACCATAAAGCAGAGAAATAGTTAATTACACTCATTTATTTCACATAATAAATATTTATTATATCACATCATCATACTGATTAATTTTAATAAGTTTTCTTATAATAAACAGTTAACAAACTACAGGTTGATAAACTCACGTCTGGCTATGCCACCTGCAATAAGTGGAATGTAGTCATTATCTCCTAATTTATTAACGAACTCATCACGTAGTTGATCATAGCAGGTAAAATAAATCACTGTAGTTGGAACTGAAACTGCTCTAAAATTGAAATATAAGCATTTAATCAATTTCTTAATCATTTCAGTTTTATTCAAATAATTGCCAAACTTCTAGCTAAAATATAAGCATTTTAGAATTAGTCTTTGGTCATAGTTCACAGAACAAGAGACATGTTATACTGCATATCAAGATGCTAACACTCATATATAGACCATGATATTTCCTGTGCTGAGTAAAATATTTAAACATGCCATTTTCTCTTTAATAACTTACATAAAACATGTTAGAGATCAATTTCCCTCTATTAAGTTATTCAACTAAACATTTTAAAGCAAAGAATTCTAAAGGCCAACAGTTGTGGTTTCTTTTTCAGTTTGTGCCTCACAATACAGTATGGAGAACAAACAATGGTACAATTATTACCAACTCTGGAGAGGAAATTAGCAAAACACAGGAATGGTTATATGTTTTATTACCCAGTATAGGAGAATCGTGTACATTAATGATAAAGATTAACATATACATAGTGAAAAAGTAATGAAAGTGCTTTTGAAAGTAACCAGAAAGCATATCCCTCATCCATTGCAATGGGAAGGTGATCACCACTGAAGAAAGTCCCTATCAGCCTGCAGAAGGGACTGTGCTGTAGGGCAAGGAGGACAATGATGCCTAAATATGTTTGAAAACCACCCATTTTTCCTCATGGGTGAAGGTGGAGGCGGGGAATTTTGCTGTGGCAAAAGCAGCGTTGGACTGGCTGGACTCTGTGGCTGCAATTCCTTCCTCCACATTATCAGATACGCATCTTGTGTTCCTCCTGATTGAGAACTAATGGTAGAGAAATAACTATGCATGTGAAATGCTTCGATCAACAGTTACTATGACCCAGGAAGATTTGATTGAAAGGATTTATTATAATATGACTAGTTATCAAGTTGGAAAGTTTAGGTTGTGATTCTGCTTACCTTTGTCATAGATAACAGTTGGGGTGGGGGAATTGAATCATTTGGGATGTGCAATCGAGCCCTAAACAATCTGGTAGGGTCTAGGACTTTTCGTGTCCACCACATATTCCCAACCCCTTCACTCCCACCCTCCAACCACCTGCTGGGAAATTTGGCTGCTTGTCCCGTGTGATGAATCACTGGATACATTGAAACATTCAGGACAGGGGGGACAGAGGTGGAGGGCTGAGGGTCCACTGGCATCGGAGAAATGCCAGCAGAGGTTCAGCTGAGTCTAAAGGCTCACTGTCAATTGGCTGTGACTGGGGGGCTGGGATGAAGGGGGTGTAAACATGTGGTAGAGACGAAAAGTGATCTGGTGAGAGGACACTGAATGATGGCATATTATGATTGGCAGAAAGATGAGATGAACTGGTTCCTAATTAACTGAAGGGACTGAATGCTCTACTGTGCAGAAACATCTCAAGTATTAGTATTGGTTGCTTGTAGGTTTGTTTGTATGAGGTGGGAGATATGGGCATAAACATGGACTTTTATGGAGAGGAGAAAGGGTAAAGCTCCGAAGGAGTGAGGGAAGGTTGCAACATCCCAATAATAAGGCATAGGAAGAAGTATGATGGGAGATATGGGGCAGGCCAACAATGGAGAATGAACTTGCTCCTGGATCCTGGATGGAAGAATTTCAAGGTCCTGCATTGTCAGCTGTTGCTACTAAGTGCTAAATCAATTTGTTATAATTTTTATTCAATTTTTATTGTCAATAAAAAGGCTGACATGGCACGCATTACTGAGATTTGCTTGGAACATGAGGGAAGATTCCTCTTTCTTCCTTCTTGTGGTGGCCCATCGGCTGCCAGCAGAGCTAGCAGCAGAGGCCAGACAAAGAATAATGGATGGAAACTGAACAAGGAGAGATTTAACTGGAAATAAGGGGAAACTTTCTGATAGTGAGAACAACCAACCAATGGAACAACTTGCCCTCAGAAATTGTGCAAGTGCCATCACTTGAGACCTTCAAGAAGAAGGAGGAGGAGGAGGGGGAGGGGGAACCTGGGCCAGCTTTGGAGCCTTTGGAAGGCTCTGATAAGGAATCAGAAGCAGAGGCAGAGCTGGGGCCTTTTGCTGGCCCCAGGTGGAGAGGCAGCTGCCTTCGGGGCCTGAAGTGAGTGAGGAAGAGGAACAGATGGGGCCCATCCCAAATGCGTGTATTCGTAGAGAGGAGAGGAGAGCAATGGAAGGCAATAAGCTGGCTCTCAGGGAAAAGAAGTCATAGACACTAGCCAGCTCCTCCCTGGCTGGGAAATATGGTAAATAGTAGGGCTTTGGGAATGGCCTGTTGTAACTGTTTTCCAGAGTACATCAATCAAGTCGGATTCCTTTGCCAGAACAAGGTTTGTTCAGACTAATTGCTCAGTATTTGAGGTGCCAATTGGGTGTCCTTGGGAAACAATAGGTAATGCATTTGCCTCAGCCAGTGTGAACAGGGTCTGTTTCTGCTTGGCTTAATCATTGAAGGATTTTTTAATCTTGAGTTCTCATGTGAATAGAGATTGTTTGTGCCCTGTTTTATAAGGTGAAAATATGTTCATTTATGACTAATTATTTTTAGTTTTATCTATCCAATGTGGATAAAGACTGTTCCTGCCTGGTTTTTTTTTTTTAAGGGGCGTGTTTTAGTCATGAGTAAGTGGTTTCTCATTGCTTGCAAAGGTTTATTCAGAAAACTTCTAGTTTCCATAAGTGGCACTGACTCTAGGATAAGGAAGATGCAGTGGCCATCTGAGATACATCAGAGGCATTCAGAACACTGCTCCTCAGACTGTTGGGTGCAAGACTCCATTTATTGAGTTGGGCACTAAGAGAGTTCATTTGGGGTTTTGGAATTACAGCTCTCTGCTGATTAGCAGCCTCCCTCCCTAACCATGTTGGCAGTGGAGTTTCTCAGGCTGATGTCTTCCCAGGACATGGGTCTGAGGTAGTTTGAGAGTTTGTGACTATCATGATAGTCCTAGGCTTGTCCCAGGTCATTCAGAGCCTAATGCATAATAGCAGTCATGGCTTGGTTTTTCTGTCACACTATGCTCTGGAATTGGGGGACGTATTTCTTTCTTTCCTGTCATGGTCACTCCCTGGTGAGCCTCCAATGCTCTTGTACCACCCCTCACTCCAGAGAAATTGGTTCTATTAAAGCTTTAAGATAGCACCAGTGGAGACTATGGGGCTAAGTCTTGCAAGGTTATCTGGAGAAAATTTGATTTTGTTGCATCTAAGGAAGTGGACAGGGCTCTTACACATGCTAGCCCGGCAATCTCCGTGCTATATCTATGTCCATCCTAGCTGGTTAAGAATGCCAAGGAGGGATGAGTTATTGGATCTGAGTAGTGGCTAATAATCCCTTGAAGGTGGTTCTGTCATTTCTCAAGGAATTCCTTGAAGAAGGTGGTTCTGTCATTTCTCAAGGAGGCAATGGTGTATCCTCTCCCAAAGGGACCGTCACTTGACATTAGTAGTCTGGATAACTTTTGTCCTATGACAACCGTGGATCCTGGACAAAGCAGAATATTACGACACCTTTCAACCAGGTTCAGGCCAGGTTACGGAATGATGTGGCATTGATTGTGCTCTTAAATGATTTCTGGACTGAACAGGATGGGCGTATTTCAGTCATCCTTCCATTTCTTGACTTCTCAGCTTGACCTTTTTAATAACATTATTCATATTATTATGGTCTATCACATAGTCAGCTAGATGTTCAAACTGGATTTGGCATTTTTGTCTTTTGATTCCTTCCCAAGGATCTGGGATGTTTGATGGCTTCATTGTTCACCACCACCATCATTTATTAAATTTGTTTGCCGCACATCTAACTGCAAAGTGACTGGTCAATCAACCACCTCCAATGTGGTACTCTCCCATTATAGCCACAAGCCAACTGGCAGAGCCAGATCTTCAGGGTCTTGAAGAAGGTCATGGAGGCAATCTCACCTCAGGTGACAAGATGTTCCAAAGAGCCAGGACCATAGCAGAGAAGGCTGTTCTCCTGGACCTCACCAATCAATTGACTGGTGGATCCACAGCATGCTACCTCCACTGAAAAGGGTGAGGCAGGTTTTTCCTGTGGGGTGAGATGGTTCTTCAAGTAATCTGGACCCGTCATGCATGTCACTCATAGGTAATAATCAACACCTTGAATTGCACATGAAAACAAACTGGCAGCTAGCGCAGCTCACAGAACAGTGGCCCACTCTAGGGGTCCCAAAGACTGTTTACACAATTGTACTCTGCATCAATTGAAGCTTCCTAATGCTTTTCAAGGGTGGAGATATAAAATTGAGTATCATCCGCATACTATGATTCCTCAACCCATGATGACCTATGATCTTATCCAGCAGTTTCATGTAGATGTTATAAAGGAGTGGCGAGAGTACCTTGGAAAAGGTGCTGAACCATTGGAAGACAAGGTTTTTCCACTCTTGGTTCTGGATGGAATGGTATTTTTCTAAGCAAATCAGCTACAAAATGGGGGTGAGGATGGGGAATCCTCTTGGCATCATGACTACTGCTAGAAGAGCAAGTGGCAGCTATAGCTAGAAGGGCCTTTGCACATAGAGTTGAATAATGGCACGCTCATCCCTGGATTACGAGGCTATGCTCACATTTACTCGGACTCTTATGACCTCTTATCTGGATACTGTAGCACACTCTACATGGAGCTGTTCTTGAAGACCATTCAAAAATTTCAACTGCTGCAAATTGTGGCTGCATGGGTAGTAAATGGTATTGGATATTTGACACATAATACAATTTCTATATGAACTGCACTGGCAGCCAGTATGCTTCCAAGAAGTTGGTTTTTCATATTTAAAACCGTGAGATTGGTTGCCTAAGGGACTGTCTTTTCTTAGTTATTTTTATCTGTTCAATTTAGTCGGTCAGTTTGGGCATATTATGAATCCCTTCTGCCAAGGAATGTTGGCTGGCAGGGACTAGGAGTCATACCCATAGCCCCTGTCCTCTGGGAGATTGTTCCTTCAGAGATTAGAATAGCCCCAACTTGGTTGGGCCTTCACAAGACTGTGAAGACCTAGTTACATGTCTGAGCTTGGGGTATGTTAAGAGCCCCATTTCTTGATTTTGTTAACATCTATGGCAAAAATTTCATTCGGCAACCATATATATTTACAGTATTTTTTATGTTTTTATGCACACTGCCCAGTCACTTGTTGAGATGGGTAGACACAGAAATCAAATGATTATTTTTTTCCTTTAAGCTTTGCTTTTTCACGAACTGATTAGATTTCCTGTGGCAGAAGAACTGTTGTTTTCTAAGGGTCATCTGGCTGGGTTCATGCTGGTAAAAGCAGAAATATTTTGGGGGAGGGTTTCAGGAAGAGTAAGGGAACTATTTTTTACAATCTTTATCTCCCTTTCCTATCATAACTTTCTTCATTTTTCTATGCCTTGTCAAGGATTTTAAGACTGATCAATTTGAATTCTTCCTCAACATAGTTGCTTTTAACTTTCAAATGTTCCAAAAAAACCCACTCCTAGCACTATCTTGATTTTCTAGAAATGTAGGCCAAATATTATTTCTATTATATTTTTGATAATAGGATTTATATAGTAACATATAAAAAGTTAAACATCTGTCAAGATTCTCAGTCATCTAGGTGATGGTTGTTCCAAAGATGCTTTTTCAGGAGGCAACTGGACTTCCTTGCTTTTTCTTTTGAAGACGTTTTGCTTCTCATCCAAGAAGCTTCTTCAGCTCTGACAGGATAGTGGGGGATGGAAGGATTTATATTCCTTGCAGCCAGATGGTAATCTGAATCCTTTAAAAGGAGCGTTGAAATACTTGAAAGTTTATCTGTGTCTTCAAAACACTACTCAGGTGATCTTGAAGACACAGATAAACCTCCAAGTGCTTCAAAGACCCTCTAAAACAGGGGTCGCCAACCCTTTGGACCTCAGGGACCACCAAACTCATTTTAGATCCCAAGGACCACTAACTGGTTCTGTGGGCGTGGCCTAATTTGTGGGTGTGGCTTGGTGGTCATGTGACTGGCTGGGCATGGCTTGTATGTAAATATTATAAATGTTTATATAAATACTGAATTTTTTATAAAAACAGAGCAACTTTTACCCAAAATCAGGCAAAGCAGGCAGGCAGATTGAGTTGCTCACAGAATCACAGATTCATTCAGAAATCAATCTATCTGCCATTGTGCTAGCTCAGTCTGTCACATAAAATTTGCTAGCAAGCAAACTCACAAAATTAACCCACAACACACCATGTATGTAAATATTGATTTTTTTTAATATAAAAAGCAACTTTTATCCAAAATCAGGCAAAGCAGGCAGATTGAATTGCTCACAGAATCATTCAGTGATCTATCTAGCTGCCATTGGCTAGCTTGGTCTCTCAAATTTGCTTGCCGTGAGTCTGCATTGAATTTGCTTGCAAGCAAACCTTCAGTCCTAAGGGAGATTCGGCTTGTGCTTAGCCAGAAAGCAATGAATCCAACCATTTCTTGCTTCCTAGCTAATCTAAATCTCCTGGCACAGCAGAACAGATGATGGTCGGAAAAAGGAAAAATAGCAATTTAGCAGACAAGTTTGTCAGGTAAGGAGTGAGTGGGCAGGGAGGGTTCCTGCAGGCCATGTGGGCTGAGCAGCCTTGTGTTTCTGCGCAGCCTGGATTAATTGCTTTGGGGGGTGGTGCTCTGGGGGTGAGATTTCTCTGAGGCCCACCAAAATTTTCTCACAGCCCACCAGTGGGCCGCGGCCCATCAGCTAGAGACCACTGGTCTAAAAGGATGCAGATTACTAGCTGTCTGCAAACAATATAAATCCTTCCATTCTCCACTGTTCTGTCAGAGCTGAAGAAGCTTCTTGGATGAGAAGCAAAACATCTTCAAAAGAAAAAACAAGAAAGTTCAGTTGCCTCCTGAAAAAGCACCTTTGGGACATATAAAAAGTTGCACCAATTAATATAGCTCAAGACATACATATTTTGATTAATTAGAATACACATTCCTATCTTTACATCAGAGAAAAAACATTTAATAAAATTGTTTTTCAGTTATTTTGTTACTAATTTTGCTGTCAATATTAAACAGCATTGATAGTTTCATAACTCATTTTATTAACTATTCTTATTCAGGTTTTAATTGATTTTAATGTGAGAGATTAATCAAAGGAAGAAAAAAATGTATAACTTACAATGAGGGTGGCAACCCACTCCACAATGCTTTCACACCCTCTCTTTGAACAATTTTTGCAAAAGCATCCTAAAAGGAAAAATAGTGATACGGTATGTTGTAGATTTCTTGAACTATTTACCAAACACTATGTATTTAATACTTTGAAAATATTTTTTTTAAAAAACTGGCATACTGTGGGCATGTTGGTATGTGTCTGAGAACTCCCAAACTCACACACCCAAACAAACACACTTAATTTTGTGTCATTTGTTTTAACAGATTCACAGAATTGGAAGGGACCTTGTAGGTCATCTAGTCCAACCCATCCACCCAAGCGGGAGACCCTACACCATTTCTGACAAATGGCAGTCCAATCTCTCCTTGAAGGTCTCAAGTGATGGTGCTCCCACAACTTCCAAGGGCAAGCTGTTCCATTGGTTGATTGTTCTCACGGTCAGAAAGTTTCTCCTTATTTCCAGGTTAAATCTCTCCTTGTTCAGTTTCCATTCATTATTCCTTGTCTGGCCTTCAGGTGCATTAGAAAATAGCTTGACCCCCTCTTCTCTATGGCTACCCCTCAAATATTGGAAGACTGCTATCATGTCTCCCCTGGTCCTTCTCTTCACTAGACTAGCCATGCCCAGTTCCTGTAACCGTTCTTCATGTTTTAGTATCCAGTCCCCTAATCATCCTGGCTGTTCTTATCTGCACTTTTTCTAGAACCTCAACATCTTTTTTATAGTGTGGTGACCAAAACTGGATGCAGTATTCTAGGTGTGATCTTACTAAGGCGTAGAGTGGTATTAGTATTTCACTTGATCTTGGTTTGAAAATAGACTTGGGCATTCTAGGGCCCACAGGCAATGTCTGGCCCTTTAGTTGTCCCTATCTGGCCCATGGGGGCAGGGCAAGAGCAGCAACAGCCCTTTTGTTCAGCCTTCCACAACAGTCTCTGTTGGAGAGGCTGATCACCTTCTCTATGCTTGCTAATTTAAGAAGGACCTGCATGTTCTTCTGTGAACGTCTTTTTCTATATTGATCTAAGAAATGCTAATTTGAAGTATGAAGAATTTATTTATAAATATATTACATCTAGAAAAATGTTACTTTATATAAAATATATATTCATATCTATGTATTAATCTTTAAAGTAAAAATAATCAAACTTAATTTCTTCTTAAATCAAAAAACTTTCCTATCAAATCATGCAAAATTGAACTAAGCGTCCCCAACATTTTGGGCATCATGGGGTGGGTTTTTCCACAGACCAGAGGGGGCATGGTTTAATGTGCTGCCTGCATTCTACAAATGGGGCTTTGTTTTTTTGCACAGTCCGGTATCTGGCATTCCGCAGACCAGTGTTGCTCCATGGACCAGGGATTGGTGAGCCCTGTAATAAACCACAATGAGCTAAATACTTTCCACCAAAGTCAGAAGCTTTTATTTGAATGAAATTGTGAATTTCAGGGACACAAAAAGGGCATCAGTAATCTTTGATACTAAAAGCACATTATAACTATATTTACATGATATTTGTGTGCCCATGCAGTTTCCTTGCACATTTTTTGAAATGGATTGCCACAGCGTTTTTTCCCTAAGACTGAGGCAAAATGTTTGGCTGCAAGGATACCCAGCTACTTTCTTGCCTACGGTATGATTATAACATACCAAGAGACTATAAACTGGCCTGTTATATGATATACTGAATTAGGAAACTACTACATGGATTTGGATTTGCACAACATGATAGGCTTCAATGTTATTGGCTAGTTTGTCATACGAACACATCTCAAGTACCATATATACATAGCCTACTGCTTACAATCAGTTAAGTGACAGGAATTATGGTAATTAATCAATCATATTTTTTATTTTCTTACTTTCTATCAAATTAATCTTCCCATTCACAATCATTGGACAATGCTGTACCAAGTATCTTATAAAATGTGACTGTCATAGGCAAATTTAATTTTAAATTATCATAATGCACTGAAGTGTGTTTCTCCTGAGCTTAAAATACTATGAAACTAATTAAATTTCTATATCAAAATTGGTCCGACAATATTTGAAGAATTAAAAGTTAATACTAGTGGGATTGAATGTGCATTTTTTCTTACCAACATGCCAGTAAAACGGGCAGATGTCTTATGCCAGGTTTTGCCAGTTCCATTTTCATAAAGATAAATGTGATCGGTCAAGCCATCAGAATCCAAAAAAGACTTTCCTGATAAAGAAATAAAAAAGAAATCCTTTCTCCTAGGTGGTTAATGAAATCTTTTCTCCTAGGTAGTTAATGCAAAGTGGTTAATGAAACACAGCATAAACTGGAAGACTATATTCTTATCTATATATAAAGTTTCTACAATATCTTTAATGTTACATGGGAGTGTCATAGAGAAATATAATGGTACAATTATAATCATGTATTCATTTTATATAATTAAAAAGATGTCTTAACAATTTCTAAATAAAACATATCAAATGATACCTTTATATCATAAACCAGCATCAAATAAAATGTATGTTCATGGTAAAACTGATCAGCAAGTGCAAATAACATTTATAACATGGACTTAAAGAATAATTTCAATTTCATAAATGTGAACTTTTGAGAAGAAATTATCAAATTTTATCTCCCATCAACACTGGAAATACATAAAGATATTGGTTTACCTTTCAGGGATGGATTGCTTTGGGCCTGTAGTCGAACTTTGACAACATCAAGAGGTGTCACTAAGATAATCAAAAAACCATGTTAAAATTCTTTTTTTATATTAATAAGTAGTTAATTGATTAAAACAGAACTAGCTAAGTGGATTTAATAAGTGAAAAAAAATTAAGCTGTGCTTTCTAGAGGACAACAGTTTACTTTCATCTGAGCACAAAGATAGCACTCTGACAATACTATAATACTTAGGGAAGTTTAAATGGTTCTAATATTTGTCTTACCCAAAACGGATGTTAGAATAGCACCACAACAGGAAGAGATAATTTGCTGAAAAGTTGTGATTCCATAGCATACATTGCCTTTGTCTTCACAATCCGTCATTTTTCTTTGGGGGAAAAAACCTGTTAAAAAAATAATTAAACCTTATGACTCTGATCTGTCATGAGAAACATTCCTCAATCCAGTTAGAATTTGCTTCAGTGCAGGCTAAGATATAATTACAAAAGCAATTTAAAAACACATGTTTTTCTTTGAATTAGAGATACCCTCAATACCTATGGATTATTTGAGATACTGCTGACTCCGTAAAACAAAGGAACTGCCATTCATAAGAACGAAGGATACTTTATGTATTATTTCTGTTAATTGGATTGGCTCAAACCAGCACACAGAGTTGAAACTGTACAATCCTTAACATGTTGATTTCAAAGCAGTCAAGCTAGTCCTTGCTTTATCATGAAATCTTTTGAATGACCTTAATTGACTGCCTAGAATCTAGATCACCTAGCCTTATCTGTTACAGCGATTCTGCAGGCTGCTGGCCCTCTTTTCAGAGGGAAGGAGGGCAGAATAAAAATCTTCCAAATGAAGGAATATTTTCTGAGATCAGAGCTTGGTTGTTTTCTTTTATGTATACTGAGAGCATTTGCACCAAGACAAATTCCTTGTGTGTCCAATCACACTTGGCCAATAAAGAATTCTAATCTAATCTAATTCTAATTCTTGCAGACTATTCCCGACACAAATTAGGTAATAACACCATCAGTGCTTTTAAGGAGTGGAATTTACTCTGTTTATATTCTTGCCCTGTCAGTATTGGTGGGGGAAGTCTTGGAGGTTCTTTGGTTGGGTTGTTTGTTTGACAGTTCCTTGATGGGGCATTGTTCTCTTAATCCTTGGCCTGATGTTAGCCTTGGAGTTAATCTATGTTGATCAATCTATGTTAATGTATGGAGTTAATTTGGATGTTGATTGCTGGTGGGGAGGTATTTTGTTTCAACTCTGAGTTACAAATATTCCCTTTTATTAGTACTGTGTGAGATGCTCCCACTTCAAGTGTAGTGGCAGTTGCTATATCTCTTATCTTGCATGGAATTCATCTGGATGTTTAACATAACAAAAGTTAATGCCAATTCAATGAACACCTCTTTTCCCACAAGCAACTCATTCTCGCCACCTCTTGAGGATTACCTCTTCCCCATCCCAGCTTTTATAAAGGTATCATGTCTTCTTAACTTAACTCTGTGATCATATTAAGAGCAATTGCGTTTTCTTCGCTGATGATGTAAAGCTATTCAACATCACAGACAATACTGCTACCCTTCAAAAAGACCTGGACTATGTATCAGAATGGTCAAACAAATGGCAACTTCAAATCTCAACAAATAAATGCTCTGTCTTACATTTTGGCAAAAAAAATCAGAAAATAAAATACAGGCTGAATAGTCAAGACCTTGTTGATGATCCAAACTCTGTCAAGGATCTTGGAATACTCATCTCTAATGATCTAAGTGCTAGAGCCCACTGTAACTATTGTTAACCTAATCTCCGTAGTTTTTTCTCTGGTAATATTATACTACTAACTAGACCATACAAAATATTTGCTAGACCAATACTCGAATACAGCTCATCAGTCTGGAACCCATATTACGTATCTGATATTAACACAGTTGAGAAAGTCCAGAAATATTTCACAAGAAGAGTTCTCCACTCCTCTACTTGTTGCAGAATACCTTATGCCACCAGACTCGAAATTCTAGACCTAGAAAACCTAGAACTATGCCGCCTTCAGTCCGATCTTTGTATATAAAATCATACATTGCAATGTCCTACCTGTCAATGAATACTTCATCTTCAACCATAACAACACAAGAGCAAACAATAGATACAAACTCAAGGTTAACAGCACCAAACTTGATTGCAGGAAATACGACTTCAGCAAGAGTGGTCCATGTCTGGAATACTCTTCCTGACTCTGGTTTCTTCCCCAAACCCCAAAAACTTTATCGTTGCTATTGCTGTCTGCTATTGACCTCACCCCTTTGCTAAGAGGTCTGTAGGGGGCGTGCATAAGCGCACCAGTGCCTGCCATCCCTGTCCTATTGTTTCTTTTTTTCTTATATGTATTCATTTCATGTATTCATAACTATGTTTTTACCTATTATCTTGTAAGCGATTGACAAATCAAATAAATAAATAAATAAACTTCTACCGAGGCCGCCAGAAGAGAAGCACCCTTTTCTCAGAACTTTACAAGGTATTTCTCAACCACGGTAGGGGGCGGGAGAGAAACCACTGTTTTAAGCGAGAAGGTAGGCACGTTTCCGCGCTCCTTGCCTATTCAATTGCCATTTACCGGAGAAGTGAGGGGGAGAGAAGAGGTTGGCGGCGAACCACCTTCTTCCCGCAGCGCCCCGAAGAAGAAAAAAAAGGGGGGGGCCTTAGGCCTGTCAGCACTGCGAAAGCCTCCTCCTAGCTGCGTGACGCCGCCTCTGTGCTAGCTCAGCCCAACCAGGGAGGCGAAGCCAGCGTCAGCAGTGCCTGGTAGGCCCGAGTGGGCAAAGGCGGGAAAGCGCGGCTGACAAAAAAAAGCGCGATGGCCGTCAGGCGCAGTAGATCCTGAGCAGCGGCCCTGCCTGGCCCCATGGGACTCGCTAGGTTGGGGTGAGGCGAGGGCCAGGGATCGGTTCGAGCGGCGGGAATGTACATTTCAAACACCAACCGTCCCTTCGGGGTGGGGTGGAGTGGACGGGGCAAGGCAGCGGAGAGGCGACGGGTACGGGAGAAGGATTGCAAATTCCGCCTCGTGAATGGAGGGAGGAAGGCAGAAACCCAGGGAGGAAGGAGTTAGCTGCAGGAAACGCACCCAGAACCCGCCCCTCAGCTTTAATTGGGTTTTTTTTTTAAAAAAGAAAGAATTTTGGGGCATTTTAATTGTTCTGCGCTCTTTTCTTGTAGATCGTAACCGTCGCGGGAAGATGAGGGTGCAGAAAATGTGACTTCCCAGGAAAATGAAACCGGGTGGTTTGAAAAGCGGCAGCAAAGGACAGTTTCCCTGTAAGTCTTCCTTTTGCCTTCTGTGTGCGGCAGCGGGTTCAGATAGGCTTTTCTCTTTGCGAAATTAAGAGCGATAAAATTCCCCTTGATAAGTTGAAGGGATTGTCTGGGTTGGGAAAATAGCAAAAGTTTCTGGGTTTTGATATTTCGAACGTCCTGTTGAATTTAAACAAATCCCCGCCCCCATGGCTTATTCTGTGCAGTATTGACTGATTTAAAATATACTTTGAGTGCTGGGTCAGAAAGAGACAGTGTTTTCGCTTTTAAAAAGATTTGCTTTGAAATACACAAGTAGGTAAGTATTAGATAAATAGGCAATGGATAATCATAATGAAATTGGGTGGCCCTGTAATTTATTTAAATATTGGGTGACAATTTTATTTAAAATAGTAATAACTTAAAGTAACCCAGTTGTAATGTCTTTATAAGGGTGTATGTATAAGGGTGATTCTAAAACTACTGCTGAAAATCTGAGATTCATATTTAGATATAGGGTTTACTTGAAGTCAGGCCCCATAGAACAATTGTTTTATTTATTATTTTCAGAGAAAATATTATTGTACCTACAAATAGAAAACGTTTAGAAAAAGTGGCAATGTAATACATGATCAATGAGATTTGATTTTTGGTAGACCCTGTATGATTTATTAAGAATTTATTGTTAAAACATTTAGAATAACAACAGTCTCTGTAATCAGTCCCTGAGGACATGATAAACTGACAGTTGACCACTGGATTGTAATGAAATTAAGTATATGTATGTTTATAGGATTGCTTTTCTTTCTCTTGGAAAGTTTTTCATTTATTTGAAACTGAATTTTCTTGATTTCATTTTCCTAATTAGGGCTACAATCTAAATATTTTCCTGAGTAGGACTACAATCTTAATCCAGCAAACTGAAACCTTTCAGTCTCAAATCTATTATCTGTACTCACTTTCAAAGTGTGATCTCTTGGTAATGCCACATATGTTGGAATATGTTCAATATATAGTCTACAAGTCAAACTGATATTGGAAAGTGGGATTATGAAGAGAATATGAATTATATGGGCTAGTTATTTTGAGCATAAAGTTTTTTTTCTGCATCCACTGAAACATGATATCTGTGGATATGCTGCAGTGGTGGTATTCGATCGGTTCGGCCCGGTTCTGGCAAGCTGGCAGGAGTGATGAGCAGCGGAGACCGAACAGGTTGGGGCCACCCGCCCGCCTGGGCTCCCATACTCACCTTTATCCGCTGAATTTAAGCGCAGCTGCTTTGCGTGGCACAGAAGCGTGCCACACAGCAGCTACTGAAGCAACCAGGATCGTGCAGACTTGCAGGAGGCAAGTTAGAACGCCTCTGTGCCTGCATAATGCGCGTTTGGCGCATGCCCAACAAGCCATGCCCACTGAACCGGTGGCAACAATATTTGAATCCCACCACTGATATGCTTCTTTCTTTTATGCACCCTGTTGATATTTATAATTAAATGATAAGAAAAATAATATCCAAAAAAACTTGAGATAGAACGATACCTCGATACTCATTCTTAATTGGTTCTGGAACGTATAATAAGTACCAAAAATGACAAATTTTTCTCACAAGGAATAAAGTAGTCACAAGGCAGCTAGCTGGTGCATTGAATACCAAACAAACAAGGAGTACCAGGGGAAAAAAATGTGTTAAAATGTGCTGAGTACCAAATTTGATGAGTTTCAAAGCAGTTGAATCCTACTGTTCTTAAAGCCAGTTGCAATATTTATTATTTTTCTCAAAAGTTTTTAGGAAGTAAATATAGCAAATATTAGAAATTTGAAAGTGGTAAGAAACTGGAAAAAGGGGGGCTAGCCTGATCCAGGAAAGGTGGGGAACTTTGATACCAATGGAAGGAAAATAAAACAAAGACAAACTCAGAGTATAGAGAGGACTTTGGAAGCAATTCTGAATGCAACAAAAAATCATTTTCTAATTTGAAGCTTAGATTCTTGAACAGGTTCTCTTTTAGCTTAACTAGGTTAGTTAGTGCTGAATATCTGTAGCCTGGATATAGGTTGAGAGTGAAGTTTCATTCTCAAAGCTTGTGGTTTGGTTTCTAAACATTACCAGGCTAGGTAACAACTTCAGTAGAATTTAGGGAATATCAAGTGTTGATATTCTGCTTATAAGGGCTTTGTGTGATCAGAAGGTCTTTTGATGAGAGGCTCATGTCAGGTGAGGGTCTTGTGATGGAGAAGTCACATCCGGTGAGGGTCCTTGGGAGATAAAGTGCTGGGGGAGAATTCTGTGAGTTTGTTGAGGGTTGGTGCTGTTGACTTGTATGATTTGAATTCTCAGGAGCTCATAGGCTGGGGATAAGCATCTGTTGTGTCCTGTTGATGGAATTGCTTCTGGAGTGCATGCATGGTGGGTGATAATGTAGCCAATTATTCTTGTATTGCTCCAATTGAATTGGTGCTGTTAGTTGTCAGTGTGGGTGGGGATTAATGATTAGGATTGTGGCAATTGCCTGCTAGCTTGTGTTCATGGATTCTGATTTAGAATTGATGTGATGTTTGCCCCACATAGAATTGGTTGCAATTGTTACAGCTGATTTTGTAAATTACAGTGTTTTTTTTCATCCTTTTGTATCTTGTCTTTGGTTTTGGATAATTCCTGGCAGAGTGTGGCTGTGGGTTTGTGCACTACTATTATTCCTAGAGGTTGGAGAATTTTGGCTGTCATATCAGACATCCCTTTTATGCATGGTAGGATTAGTTTTTGTGTAGTGGCTAGGTGTGTAGTACATTTTGGTTTGGCTATTGTGTGTCAGAATAGAAAGTTTTTACCATAACTATTGCAGAGAAAGATGTCAAGCAGCTGTTTCTCTTCCACTTTTCTTAGTTCTGTGGTGCTGCAATGTGTTCTGGCCTTCTGAAGAGGGCCACCCCATACAAAAGAAGCTGCATTCAGACCCGCTTCAGCCAAACCCTATTTTTAGTCTGTATTGTTCAAATTTTCCTTGGAAAATTAGATGACCCTCCAAAACATATTTGGGAGAGGTGATAGAGCAGCAGGAGATTGTTGGGGGCAATATGCTGACTCTGTAAACCACTTAGTGAGGGCTAGAAAGAACTGTTAAGCAGTAAGTCTAAGTGGTATTGCTATTTGTATATTATTTATTTATAACTCAAGGTGGCAAAATATACCTGATATTCCTTCTTAGTCTTAATACCTCAAATATCGAGGGTCAAATACCTATACATACTTTTCAATAATCCTTTCTTGCTTCAAAACAGGATTTAAGGATTGAACAGATAAATTTCTGATAAGGGCTTACTTTGATTGCAGATGATATGCAAGAAAGAAGGGAAAGAAGCAATCCTCCCCTGAAAAGTGTAAAGAAAGATTCTACAAAGCCTGATAAACCAAAATGCAAACCACTTACTGGGAAAGTGTTCTATCTTGATATTCCATCTAACACCCTCTCTGATAAAATTGCAAAAGATCTTAAGGAACTAGGAGGGGTAAGTGTATGTTTTGCTTTAAGATAGAAAAGAAAGGAATAATGCAGATTCAGTTTGACTATGTTATATTCTTGCTAAGATGAAATCCTAAGCATTTTTCTGTTTTTACAACCTGCCTTTCATTTAATGCTCATGGTTAGGGTTGTTTTTTTTTAATAAAAAAGTTGCCATTTCTCCAAAATTCTCTATAAAATTATTATACCCAGAGCTGAGGGCAGCTGAGACTTCCTGGGGCAAGAGGCTTTGTTTTGCATTGCTAGGACCTCCTGTAGCAGCGCTGTATACTATGTTCTAAAAATACTGAGGCTTTGCACCACATTGATGGATGATTTTTTTCATGCCAGGCTGCTGGGGCTTCCTGTGGTGGTGGCTATGTGTGGCTCAGAGACTTCTTATAGCCCAAGAGCCAAGGCACACCAAGAAGCCCTTGGGCAGTGGCATGATGGTTGCCCAGCAACTCAGTTTTGGGACTGCCTGCTGCTCTGTAAGATATGTTGGGTGGGGGGAAGGTCAGAGATGTGATGGAGATGGGTAGGAGGAATTAAAGGGAGGCATTCCCTTATCTTACCAAACTTCAGGTTGGGAGGAATCAAGCCCAGAATGGCTTGGATTGGGATAGGTACTTAATGGTTCATGATTCATGGTTAATGACAAGAGAATGTGTAATGTGATGTTCTTTACAACTGCATTGCTTAATGATGGAAATTCCAGCCCTAGTTTCGGTCATAAGACCAGGATCATCTA